GTTATATAGAGTGGGGAGCTGGTGGATGTCACAGCCTGAACAGATCCCCCATAGAGGGACACCCCAGGCAGGCCATGGCTCCTCTGAAATGGCTGCCAGGTGTGACAGCAGCAGATGGAGCTTCGTGCTTGTCCAAAGACCTGTGGTAGGGCAGAGGGCACAGGCCTGTCTCCCACATGAAGGATTTGACACGGGGTCTGGCGAGGGCGGGATTCTCGCGTGAGGCCAGCGCTTCAGGGAAGGCCTTGAGCTTCTTCTTAGATACTTCCTTAGAAAGCGTTTTGCTCTGGGGCCACCTGTCCCATGTGAATTTGTCTCATATGGATGTGACCCCTGGGAAGGCAGCATGTCCAGGCAAGTGTGAGCCACTGCATCCTCTTCCAAGGGACTGGGGACCCTCCTGGGTTTGGAGCTAGCCAAGGAAGGCTTCTTAAGAGACTGAGCCCCATTTCCTTGTCCTGGTCAGAACCAATGAAGGAGCTCAGCAGGGGCCACTGGGGTCCTGGCAACACATGGCTCCCAGCTCGGGTTTGGTGTCTGCCTCCTGGCCGCCCTGGCCGACTTTGCCCCTCTCTCTTCCCTCCCATTTCTAGCAGCAGAGTTTCAGGTGGCAGGAGAAGGTGCATTACCAACCTCAGACTCCAGAAAAGCTCTGTGCCCTGCGCAACAGCTGTGTGTCTCAGCAACACGGCCAGGAGTCCACTCCTGTACCAGGGCTTCCCAGGTTTGTTTTTTTGTTGTTGTTGTGCTGTGTTTTGTTTTGTTTTGTTTTAATTTTGAGACAGAGTTTCGCCCTTGTCACTCAGGCTGGAGTGCAATGGCGCATTATCTATTGGCTCAATGCAACATCTGCCTCCTGGGTTCAAGCAATTTTCCAGCCTCAGCTTCCTGAGTAGCTGGGATTACAGGTGCCTGCCACCACGTCCGGCTAATTTTTTTTATTTTTTATTTTTACTAGAGACAGGGTTTTGTCACGTTAGCCAGTCTGGTCACGAACTCCTGACCTCAGGTGATCTGCCTGAGGTGAGCTTCACACGACACCCTGGGGTGTTGTGAAAATGAAGACTCTGATCTCTTAGGTAGGTGTGTGTGGAGGGGGCGGGGGTGCACAGGATGCCGCGTTTCCAACAAGCTCCCAGTTGCTGCTGGTGCCACCGCTCCGAAGACTACACTGGGGCCTGAGGAACTGAATTCTTGCTGGGCCGAGCAGGATGTGTTGGCATCACATGGACATGGAGCTGGGTTGTCTGGCGGTGGCCCAGTGGCTGGCAGAACCCCACACATGGACACAGAACCACTTTTCCCACACAAGCCCTAACCCCTAATGCCAGGGAGACCCACAATGGAACACACACCCAGACGGTGCTTTGGATCGGCTTCCCCTGACACCCCTTCCCCAAGCCACCTCCTCCCACTGGGACGCCAGGTCTGAGGAGCCAGCTCTGGCCCTGCTGTGGCCCTCACAGGCTCTGCCCCAGCCTCTCTCCCATTTTGGAGGCCTGGGGCTGTTTCCTGGGGTCCCCCATGACCACCTTTCCTGTGTCTGAGACTCCTGCCCAAAAGGCTAGAGCCCCAGTCTGCTTTCTCCAACACCCTCTGGGAGGAGGTGTGAGGTCAGGACCCCCTGCCCAAAGGGAGTCCATGCTCTCCCGTCCCACTCCTCTCAGCAGCACCCCTGCCCGATTCCACAGACTCCAAAATGTCACCAAATGAATTAAAGCAGCCACGGTCAAGCCACATGAATGTGCCAACAAGCATTTTCATTTCTTTATTTTAAGGACACTGGGAAAGGAGCCAGTCCCCTGAAGAGTCCAGTCCCCTGAACTCCGGTCAGTTGGTGGAGGCCAGTGGGATGCCATCGGGCCTGCTTTCCAGGAGGGGGTGAAGGGTTGGTGCAGGGTGCAAGGTGAGAGTGAGGTTAAAGGTCAGAGAGGAGGGGCTGAGGAGGCCACCTCCCACCAGGAGTGGACAGCTGGTGGCTTGGGACTGGGGTGGAGCCGCATGGGGGATGGGAGGGGACTGAGCGTGGGCCTTCATCTTCACTGCCCACTCCTCCCTCTCCCTGGCTGTGCCCGCCTCCTGGGATGGTAGGATTTGGGCAGCTGGAGCCCCAGGTGCTGCCGCGGCTGAGGAAGGCAATCCTGGTCAGCTGCCTTCTCCGTTCCAGGGTGGCTGTAGCCAGAAGTAGGACCAGACAAGGGCATGGCCTCTGCATTAAAGCCCAGATCCCAGGGAGGGTTGGAAAGGCTGGGCCTGGGATGTGGGGATGATGAGAAGACCCAGACTGCCCCCCACCGCAGCCCCGGCCCCAGGGCCAGGGAGCCGCCTATGTCTGCACGTGGGTCAGCTGGATGTCGCCCCCCACTTCCAGTTTGTTGATGGCGGGCAGGTTCCTCAGGCGATGGTAATATTCAAACAGGTGCTGACCATCCACGGCCACCTTGAGGCAGTGCGCATCACACAAGATCCACACCTGTGCAGAAATCATGCCGTTTGCACTACACTTGGGAAGTCCTCCACTCACACTGCAGCCTCCTGTCTCCCTCCCTCCTTCCCTCCCTCCCTCCTTCCCTCCTCAGACATTAATAAGCCCCTCACCTGCGCTCCATCCCCACTGAGCGACGACGCTTCACTAAACAGGCTGTGCGTGCTCCTTCCCTTGTACTGTTCCCTGGCCTATAATACTGTTCCCACCCCATCAGGGACGGGAGCGCTGGCCTGTGCTGTCTGCATCCCTCGGGCCCAGCACACAGGAGTGCTCCGGGCCTGGGCTCCTGCAGTATCAGCCTCCTAACTGGTCTTTTCCACCCCAATGCCTTCTCCATGAGGAAGTCAGCATACAAATGTTAAAACCTCCTTCCCTTCGCAATAGCTAACACTCCTATCACACACGCCATGTGCCAGGCACTATCCTACGCATGCTACAGATACTGTCTCATTCCTTTCTTACAACTCTAGGAAATTCATGATTTTTAGCTCTGTTTTGCAGATGAGGAAACTGAAGCATAGAATAGTTAAGTCACTTGCCTGAGGTCACACAGCTGTCCACAAATCAAAGAATGTTGCTCCCTGGCTTGAAACACTCCTGTGTGGCTTTTCACTGTGTTAAAATCCAAGCTCCTTTCCATGGCTGCAAAGCCC